TAAAAAAAATGCATTGGATATAATAAAGATAATTAGCATTTTTGTTTGTTTCTATATTTTTCTGTACATCCGGTTGCAGCTGAGTCACTCATGGCTTCTCAGTTGTTACAACAAGCGCCATATTTGTTGTTTTTGCAGAATCTGGTTAGTGCGAACAATTTATTTAAATGAGATGTGTAAGATAAAGCGATTTCCCTATTTTAAGCTGAGATTTTGTAGTTTTTCCCAACAAAACTGAAAGTTTAGTTCAAGGACGGTTGCAAAGTTGAAAATTCTTGCTGCTTTTGTAGTTTGTAGCTCTGATAGAAGGGACTAATTTAGTTGATTTTAAAAATAAAATAATTAAAGACATCATTAAAATCAAACACCAGACTGAAAATCATCTTCTGTAACTTGGCGAAAAGCAAAAACAGGATTTTTTTTGAGCTGGTGTTAGTTTGTACTGTCATTATATTTAACGTTAGCAAGTTAAAATGTACATAAAGACATAATTATTTCACGTAAGCATTACAACAAGAGGGGAAAAGAGTGTTTGTGGGAATTTATCTTTATACCAATATTGAAATATTACTCTGATAAGTTACAGTGCTCCTACAGCTACATGTCAAATCCCCCAGATGCTAATTGTAATGCGAGCGTGTGTTTCTGTGTTTTTTTTTGTGATGGCATGTTACCCAGGCTACTCAGCCCCTGGCACCCCAACGGCTAATCGTTTTGTAGGCCTGAGCCCTCGAGATCCCGCCTTCCTCCACCAGCAACAGGTGAGGTTTCCCCCCTTCAGCACTCAGCTCACCTGCTCCTCTTATTCCTTTCATTTTCTGCCCCCCTGCCCCCTCCACCCGGCCCCTGTCTGCCCCCCCAACACACACACACACACACACATCAAATGTGAAATCCCTGCCCTCTGCAAAACCCGGTCGCACTCTGAAATTGATTTGCAGGAAGCATTAAACAGTTAGATCAGAGCGCTTCAGAAGATCAGAGGGGCGATAGGCGCAGGTCGAGCGTAGCATTAACTGAAAAAAAAAAAGTTTGCAATAGTTTCGAGGCTTAGCACGCTAAAGATAGCAAGTCCTAGTGATAGTTCAATCTTATTTAAATCCTACCGACTGGAGAAGTTTGCACGATATTCCCAGTAAATGATTTGTATTATTCATAGCAAAAAAACACTGATAAAAACATTCCACAGTAGAAAAAGGCGTCTACTTCCTGAGGTCACGTTAAAGAAAGACACGAAGGCGAAGGGTCGCCGCCGCCGCCATTGTGCGGCCACTACTCAGAAGATGGATGGGACACGTGGGTGCCTTTGAGGGTGTAAAGTGCTGCTTCCTCCACACATTACTTTAGACACACACACATACCACATCGCCCTCATTTACCGTATACACGCTGAATATGCAGCGCTGGCGTCGCTCGGTTTCCCCCGCAAGAGGTCCGAGGAACGTCCTCGGACAGATGTGGTAGCCCCCCGTGTGTGTGTGTGTGTGTGTGTGTCTGTGTGTGTTTGTGTGCGTCTGCGAGGTTAGGAGTGTTGCGGTGTTGTCGGACGAGAGAGAGAGTGCTCTCCCCCACCCCGTCTTATTGAAAGCGCTGGTCTGAGGCCAAGGCTTTTCCAACCACAACTAATTGAATGCATCTGCACGCAGCTACATAATGATCGCTGGGTTTCTCCTCAGCTCACTTTTTCTTTTTTTTTCTCTCTCTCTCCTGTGTGTGTGTTTAGTAGAAATGACAAAGCTGGCCTCTGTTTCCTCGCTCCTCTTTCTGTCTTTTTTTTTTTTTTTCTTTTCTGCTTTTCTTTCTCCCAAATTTCCCAAAATCAGAAAAGGCAAAAAAAAAAAAGAAAAAGGGGGGAATGTTTGTCAGCAGACGTGGGATGCTTTTATTCCACTCGGGAGCAGAGGGAGGAGGAGAGGGAGGATTCACTTGGCTGATGTCGCGCAGTTTGTCTTGCACATTTTCTAGTAGCCCTGCTACTTCTTTCAGTGGGGCACAAAGTGACTACACAAGACAGCAGCAGTCTGAGCGTAGCTGCATGAGCTGCTGAATTTTGGCCAAAGCTTTGCTCCCAGAGGCTATAAGGCCTTTTTTTGTTCCAGATTTTTTGAAGTGCACTGTGAATCAGCCAGATAGATAAATATCCTCCTCCGACGAAGAAGAAATACAGTCGGGTAATATAATAAATGTAATATAATATGAAAGCTAGTTTTATTTGATAATCCTAATTATCCTAAAACATCTTTTCGTGATCCCATTACACTGTCGAGAATAAATTATCGAGAAGCCCTCGGAAAAAAAAATCAGAAAACACAAAGAATGAAAGATTCGTAAGCGCAACAATGACACCTTTCCAGAAGGTTATTACATGCTCTATCCCGATGAATGAGTGTTCTTGTCAGCTTAAGGAACTCTAAACAGTCCTCACATTGATTCATCATGCTTCTGCTTGTCACAGTTGTTTTTGTTTTCTGTGGTATGATTTAACGGCCTGGGATCTGGCCTCGCCGAGCGCGCACAGACACCGAGCCAAGTCCCTCAGGACCGAACACTTTCACCAAATACTCTGTCATTGTTCTCATCTGGCAATGATGTGTTTATTGTGCGGGGGTCCGCCAGGCTTTATTGACACTTTCGCTTGTTTAGCTGCAGCCGTTTGTCGCCACGCTCGGTCGGAAAAGAAAAGCAAATCGCACACAACGAGAGCGGAGAGTTTTTAAATGTGGTCGGCGTTGGAGCTGTTTGACGGAGGCTTTTTGGAAATCGCTCGAGTGCCATAGCACACACACACACACACACACACACAGACCTCATTTGAACTGTACGAAAGAACGGTTGATATTTATATCATCTCACATTTTATCGCCATCAAAGAGCCTTAATTGTAAGTTGGCAGTAAAGTTTAAAACAACCTCCTTCTTAGAGGATTTTAAAATGTGGCACCATTAAAATGCAAGTCCCTGGACACACACACACACACACACAATCACACACACAGAGGGGCTTCAAAAATGAAAAAACAAAACAAAACAACACCACCACACGCTCCCACACCTGCTCTACGAATCCCAGGCAGCGAATGTGTGAAAACCCTCCATTCATCTCTCGCCTTGGTTAACCCCTCCAGGGAATGCCACCATCTAGCATTCCGCAGGGAAAGATCCGTGATCAGATGTCATTTGGTATTATCTAAGGAAGGATCCTAATCCACAATCTGCCCGCATCTGTTTGCTAACGTTCCCCGGCTCCGTCCCCCTTTTTCCCCGCTGCCCGAGCTGCTCCGATGTGCCGGTGCCAGCGGACAGATGGCGAGCCCCTCGAGGAGCGGTGGCACCGAGCGTCTGGCCCAACCCGCACATTCTCTCCAAGCTATTGTCAGGCTGCGGAGTGCGGGAACAGCGTGGGGGTTTAGTCTCCCAACCTTCGACAAACACTGAGAAAAACACGCTGAATGGAACAAGTTTGCATTGTTTCCCATTCAGCTTTATTAAGCAGCCGGTCGAAGCGTTTGATCAGATGATAAACTGAACTGGAACCAAATGAGGGCTATTGCATCACTCCAGACTAACTGGTTCTACTTCCCATTTGTTCCAGGGGGGGAAAGAAAAAATATGAAGGAACATAACAAAAACACATCGCCTGAATTTAAGTGTGGCTTAAGTAGGAAACCATCATCGTCCCCTGATGTGTTCATCCAGGTGCTCGGAGGAAAAAGAACACATTTCTTGACCGCTGCAAATGGCTTTGAATATTCAGCGTATGCGTATATCTGATTAAATCCCTCTTAAGAGCCTCTGCAAAACGTCTGCCACTGCACGCAGAGTGCTAACAGTGCAGTTTTATCCTGATGCATTACTAAATGAATGTGTTGACCACAGGGCAAGGTTAGGTTGGTATTGGCAGAGATAGCTCTCAGCTGGATTGCCGACACGTGCGCTCGCATAATGCATGCAAAGGAGACACAGTTTGTGTGTGGCTTTTTTGTTGCAGTAATTTGTAATCTGTATGTAAGGTTGGCATGTCTTAAAACGGGGGAAAAAGGGGTTAGTGCGCGCGTATTTGTGTGTATGCGTGTGTGTGTATGTGTGTGTGTGTGTGTGTGTGCTGTAACTTCATTGTAATTGTGACCCCCTAATCAATAAAAACAGTTAGCTAATGAAAAAAGTCTGCATGCTCGAGGGCATGCGTACTCCACCCCTGAATCTGAAAGTGCACTTAGAGCGAAGCCATCATTATCGACAGGGTGCATGCATCCAGTGGATTGCATGGCTTCAGGTAAACAGTAGTGACTGCTCACATGTGAACCACCTATATGATGCCACTCACATCTTCTAACTGACTAACTGCGTTTGTTTTTTGTTTGTTTTTTTGCTTCCAGGTTAGCCGTTACCACTAACTGTGACTGCATGCCCTTTTTTCTTTCATGTCTTGTTCTTATCCATAGCTTTGATTTTACTGCTATTTTTCCCCCCCAACAAGTAATGAAAGCTCAATTTTCATATTCTCAGTAACAGCTAGGATTTGATTTAATTTCTCCTGCAATAGGCTTCTTCTGCATGCATGTGTGTATACAGTGTTGAGTTGTAGTGTAATCTGAAGTGGAAGTTGTCTTGGCCCAGTGATCTGACTGCTAGGTTTCAATTGACAGCTGAGGAAGTGTGACTGGAGCGTGACTCAAAACGGCAGGCATTATGGCCCCAGTGCCACTGACGACACTTTGGGGATTACTTGGCAAAGGTAACCTTTTCATTCTTTCATGCCGTCTCTCTGTCTCTCCCACAACACACACACACACACACACACACACACACAGCCTTAAAATGAACATCATTGATATAATGTATGATTTCTCTTGATTGCACACTCCTCGCCTCACAGAAGCGTCTCACTGATATAATCACATATAAATGTAATGATTAGCTCAGTAGCTGTTAGCGCTGCAGTTAAAGAGTCTGTCACACATGTTAACCTTTTGGACTTTTTAACACGAGGTCATGCATTTGTTTGATAAAAACACACATTTCCTTGTGTCTCTGTCGTGTTTTCTTCCCCCTCCTTTCCTCTGCCTTCGTCTCTTTTTCTTGCTTTGAGTGTTTCCCGGTGATTTGTAAAAATCCAATGAAGTAGATTTAGCTCTAACGTGTCCCTACTTTATTCCTCTGATGTTATTCTTAACCTGCAAGATGACAAATAGCGCAAAACCAAACGTAGCCATCCTCTCGGAGACACAATATTTCCCCGACTCAACTAATTACAACAAATGAAGGCGAATAAAAAAGTCATTCCAGGTCACATTTGTAGCCATGTGAGGTTAATTCGCCCACCGCTTTCAAACAGGCTTTGCTTTGTTTGACTGTATGCTCGAGTCATGCTTTACTCTCTTTAACTTAAAGCTACAGACGCCTCCTCCTCCTCCTCCTCCTCGCTTCCCATACTGTATCTCCCCCTCCACCTCCCCTTTCCTCTGGGGAGAAAAACCTGAACCATTCCACCATGCTAGAGCGAGCAAGCTGAGCTAAGCCTTTTCCTGTTACGTCTCCCCTTTCCCCTTTTCCCTGGATATGTGGAGTATCCATGTGAGTGTGTGTGAGTGTGTGTGTGTGTGCAGGTCATTTTGCGCTCGCTCCAAGTTACAAAAAAGTTTTTTTACAAACACAAACGCACACAGCAGAACCCCCCCTTCAACAGGCCTCCTAATAGGCCAGTAGAGGTAGCAGAGAAAAATGTCCCCTGCAGCAGATTGAGGTCTCTTTTTCCACTCCGGCCTCCTCCTCCTCCTCCTCCTCCCGCCGCGTACAGTACAGACAAAATAGATCCCGACGCAGTTTAGTTTATTTTGTTCTAAGGACGGGACGGTAAATTGCGTTATCTCCGTTCCCCTTTGATGGATTATTTGCGCCCAACGTATAGATGGAATCGGTTCTCTTTTATCTCTGCTTGCCCTTTAAATGGAGCGCTCCGCCATGCCTCTTCAGTGCTAGCCCCCCAAATTAAAAAGCTGCCAGACTCGCATGTTGCCATTGTGCAGGAAATGGGTCAGCAATCCATTAAGATGCCATTAGATAATCTAATTTAGGGAGCTAATCCTTAAACGAAGCACGCTGTATGCCCGGGCTGTGCTCGCGGGGAGTAGAATTAGCGAGGTTTGGGAGCTGGACAGGGCAGAGGGAGGCCATCTTGAAGGTTACCTAAGGAAACATGGAGGGCCCGAAAGCCTCCACTGGCAAAGCGACAACTTGCGTGGAGAGGATGCCCAGAATCCTCCCCGGATGAGATTGTTTCTAATGATTAAAACGCCGCAGGAGGCAAAATACCTGCACAGTTTGTTCTCTTGAGTACTAATAAGGCCGATCAGAAAGTATTCTTTACATAAAAACCCTGTTTAGCTTATGGGACTGACAGCCGTCGATTCTAACAAGATTAAAACCGATCCGAACAGAAAAGAGAAAAAGCCGGCGACTGCCCCTTTTTTGTAGCTGTGTGGTCCTTCCTAATGTACCTGAGAGGAGTTTCATAAGGAAAGAGAAACAGGGAGAGATGGAAGAAAGAAAGAAAGGAAGGAGGGAGGGAGGAAGAAAGAACAGGAAAAAGAGAAAGCTGCAGCCCTTGCCCGCTCTGTGCGCTCTTTGTTCAGCAAGGTAGGAAAAACTTAATCCCCCGTTTCCTGTCCGATGATTTTTGGCAGGGTGAAAGAGAGAAGGAGGGGAGGGAAGAAGGCAGGAGGATAGCATGAGGACGGGTTGGACAGAGGAGGGAGGAGGGAGAAGAGAAAGAAAAAAAAAACTGCTCCAGAGGATTAGCCTTGAAGTTTTTTTTTTTTTTAACACTTTGCGCACTGAAACCTTAAAAACTTGAGTGATGTTTGCCTTTGTGTCGTGCACATCTCTGTTCTGGGGGGCGAATTGAATGTGAAGCAAAAGAGCAGCGACTGGTGATTTATAGGGAAGGCAGACGGCTTGATGAGACGCTTTCATGAACGCAGACACTGTTGTCTCTCAGTGAAGCAAAGAATGAAGTCTGTGTTTCACCTCCGCAAAGCAGCAGCATCAGACTTTTAGAGGTTTTGTCTCCCTTGAAAACAACTCTCATCCATCTTCCCCATTTCTACTTTTTCCCTTCCTTTTGCTGCTCTTTTTTCCTCTCCATGCGTGGGGCTTTTCTAGCTGCTGCAACAGTTCCTCGTGAATCGGACAGGTTGTTACCGGCGCAGGTATACGTTAGTGATGCGAGAGGTGGGAGGTTGTTAGATGAGTGCACACTGGGGGCCTGTGGGGGGAAGAAAAAGGGGTGAGGGAGGGAGAGAGAGAGAGGGGGGCTAATTATCTGACATCTACATAGCGCAGCACCCCTCGGGAACAACATGCTGTTTGTTCCCGCTCGCGTTTTCAGTTAGCACCGTTGCTCCCCAGGAACAATCACTGTGTTGTTTTGCCATTAGCGTGAGATGAATAGGGATGGGACAGCTTTGTGTAGGGACCCCCACACTTTTTCTTTTTTTTTTTTACCCCTCGCAACCTCCCCCCACTCTTCACCGCCACCCAATCACACTCGCGCTTTTCTATACCGCCGTCAATGCACAGAGGAGGGCCCGCGTCACGGCCCGCTCGCACGATGTGGAGTCACCTCAGATCGACAAGCTAGCCTGAACTAAAAAGAAATGAGGGTCGTTAGTGAGGTTTGATTGCACAAAGACGGTTTGATTAATTGCCCCTTTTCCCCTCTCTTTCTGTCTTTTTTTTGTCCCCCCCCTCTCTCTCTCTGCAGTCCTGGTACCTGGGCGAGCTTAGTTCCATTCCAAGTGTCGAACGGGACTCCGATTCTGCCAACAAATGTCCACCAGAACTACAGCATAAACATCATTGGTGAGCCCCTGGTCCCCGCCGAGACAGGGAACTGAACACGCAGAGGCCGGATGACCCCCCCGCCCCCGGGGTGGATGGGCGGTTGGGGGTGTTGATGGTGCAGAGCTAGCACTACAGGTGTCCGCAGCCATGGATGAAACCAGCAAAGCAGCAGGTGCTGCATAAACCCCTCTCCCTGCATTACCCCCCAACCCCCATCTCACCCTCTTCCACATCCCCACCCCTGAAAAAAAACCTCCAACTCCCGTCCCTCCCGATGACGGACACCGGCCCTGAAGTGAAGACGAGGGTTGGTTCAGAGGAAAGAAAAAAAGAAGAAGAAGCTTCAGGTCTGCTGTCTCCTCGCCCGCCCGCTCACCCACCACCCACCAGTCAGTTGTTGTGTTTGCAGAACTTTTCAATCCATTCAAATACTGTGATGTATAGACGCCTTAATGTTTTATTGCATGACACTCTAGTCTCTTAGCGGCAATTCCTACTATTTTTCCATGTTGGAGGAAGATGTAAAACCTAGATTTACACACACACACACACACAGACACAGACACAAGTGAGGGGGTCTGCATAGTGACACCTGCCTGGTGGATGGCTCAGAGACTCTAAGCTCTCCAACACAGACCTCTTGAAAAGAGGCTTTTCCCGCATCAAACGATTCACTGTGTACACCATAGGAACAAAAAAACATGTGAATTCAGAGTGTTTCTTCTTCCGTTTGATTTCAGTTTACTGTGATACGACTCTTTGTTCAGAAGATGTGTTGACTTTTTGTTTTATTCTTTACTGCTACTTACTTTAAGAATTAATGTAAACACTTATGGTAAGAGTTGAGAACTCTTGATGCAGTTTTCAAAAAACACTAAATGCTAGGCTTGAGATTGGACCCCTCGTAAAAGAATTTGCAACTCCTTTACAAAAGGAGAATTTTTATTTTTTGAAAAAAAGAAAAAGACGGAGAATAAGAAAATCGCGACAGAGGCAAGTGCAATTGAATTGTTGAAGGGAAGCTATCAGTCTGTCAGCCCTAAGACTCTAAAGGAAGGGGGATAAATATTAAATGTTTTATGGGTAAAAATGTTTAAGGAAACATTTGAATTTGATTTCAGTCACATATCCGTCTCCTCGCATGAGAAAAACATCGAGCGTGAAAGGCAGTTGAAGGCAAGCATTGAGCTACCTGTGCAGCGCTGAGCAAAACCAGCACTTATTTTGAGCCCTTCCCATCAATGTGGGGAGATTTTTTTGTATTTATTTTGGGGGAATTTAAAAAAAATAAAAAATAACCGAACATAAGTAAAGAAATGGGACGCACATAGTGTGTTAAAGAGACATTATTTTGTTTGTTTTTTTAAATGTTCACGATAAGATCAAGAGCATATGCATTTGGCCATCAGCTTGTAAAGCTTATGTTTACAAAAAAAAGAAAAGAAATTATGGAAGTGTTAATTCAAGGAAAATTACTATTCATGCAAATGTAGCGTGAGCTTCTGGGTAAAGCTACACTTTGTGCAACTCTAAAATGGAAGAGGTTGTAAAACGGAAATTGCGAATCCAGGTGGTGGCAAATCCCTGAAATCTAGAATTGTGCACGGCATGTTCACAGCCATTGCCTCTCCAGTCCAGACGTATTTATACAAGGAAAATCTCTCCAGTACTCTTAATTTGCACGATGACATATAGTCCACATTACGTGCCTTGCCTTTGAATATAGAGACATCACTACACTTGTTTTTGCTGCATTTATCATTATAGAAAAAAAAAATTAACATTTTTATGATAAGAATTGTTTTGTACTCTGAATGAATTGTTGATTTTTAACTTCATGTACTACTCTATCTCACAGTTACATTGCATATCAAGGCTGTGTATAGTTGCCGTTTTAAAGTTTGTAATCAACCAGCATTTTTTTTTTTTTTGTTTTGTTTTTTTTTTCCAGTATTTTTGGTGGTTTTTCTAATAACCTGTCATCTTTTGTTTTCTTTATTTTTTTTTCTTTTCAATGCTCATTTTGTTCATCTTCCAGCTACTATTGTGGAGGGTGGAATTCAGAATTATGAAAATTATGCAATACCAAGTTTTGCCTATGTAGGTAGTGCTTATAGATGCGTCAATTATTAGAGGCTAGTTTGGAGATAGACAATATTGTAATGCATTTATTTTGTTGATATCGTTGTTTGTCGTTGTTGTTGTTGATGATGTTGTTGTTGTTGTGGGTGTTTTCCTTTTTTATTGACCAAAGTGGGGACTGCTTTCTATGCAGTGTAAGACAAGGTCTTTTTTTTTTTTTTTTCTCTTATTTTTTTGTTTGGTTTTATTCTCTCTAGCGTACAGGCCTACCGAATGACGGTGAGACATGTTCCAGTGTATTATGAATTCGGGAAGTTTTCGGGGGAGGGGTGGTATTTTTCTTGGTTTCAAAAAATGCACCCTTGGTCTTTCTACGGCTGCAAAGTCACTGATTGGTCTACTGTGACTCTTACTTTCAACTTTCCACCTGGGGTGCTAGCGTCTTGAAGGAGCTCATTTATTTTGTTTTTATTTCATTTTATTTTTCGTTCACAGGAGAGACGGCTTGACTTGAGCGCGACAATCATTTTAAGGAATCATGTTTCTCGCGTAGAATCCCGTTAGATCCCCTCCGGAGCCGAGCGCGCGCTCTCTTCGTCCAATCGTACGCCGTGATATTCTCGATGTCGCCGAATGCAATTCCCAAGTAGATGCCTTAAAACACATCAGTGAAGTGGCCTGCGACCTGCGCAACAATCACACACCGACTAATGCTAGTGAGACCTGTCCAAATCAGCTCCAGACAGGCTCGGGCAAGCCTTTAGAAAGTATTTTATAAGTAGTAGATTTGTATAAATGTATATACGATATGCACATACTGTATGTCAATCCCCAGCGGAGCCCCCCCCACCCCACCCCCTCCCGTAGAGTACGTCAAATATTGGACCGCAGAAGAATGTGTTTTCTAACTTCACGCCCAGTAGAAGCTTAAATAGAACCCACTAGAAGTAAAGTATAGCACTTAAATAGCACATAGGCAATCATCTTCTCTCTCCCGTACAGTGTTCAGAACTAAATCTCTCTCAGGCGTATTACAGGGCATTATTTATACCAATCATGCACCACTTTTAATGTTAAGAAAACAAACAGGAAGTAAGAGCGGCGCCATCCCATGCTGCTGTGACACCTTTTGCACTCTTTCCCTAACAATCGCGAAAGAAGAAGAAGTTTCCGTCTTAGAGGTGGTCCTACCGAGGGCTCTCCAGCAAAAAGCAGAGGGAGCAGAAATCATTAAGAGTAATCCTCAAGTCAAGCTCAATCTCTCCGCCTTCACCCAGAACTCTTATGCAGAAAAAAAACTGAAAAAGTCACCCCGTTCTATGTGCACTGTTCTGTCTTTTTTTTTTTTCTTGTTGTTGATTTTTTTTCTTTTTTTCTTTTACAAGGAAAAAAAAAAAACTATAAGTGCTTTGCAGCCTTTGGCCATTGGAGACCCCACTGAAGTGCATTGTCCCCAAGTGTGTTTGTGTGTGGATGTGTGCGAGATCAAAAAAAACGAAAAAAAAAAAGTGTCAGGGTCACTGTGCCAGTTTGGTGTTTATTTGAAATAGGAGACTGTACATAAAGGTAAATATCCTGATCGCGTCGATAGCAGTAGTCTGTGGGGTTGAACTCTGCTTTGGCAGCTTGAGTGTGCATGCGCGTGTGTTGTACGTGGGTGAATTTGTGCGCCGGATGTGTGATAAGAGTGCCTCTGACACTACACAACGAGAGAAGATGAGGGTCTTTCTATTGAGGAAAAAAAATAGAAAAAAACGACAAAAAAAAAAAACAAAACGATGCCTGCCGTAGGACAGGAGTTTGTACACTGTAAACTTTCTGGGGAGTTCTTTGTAAATCTTCATTTCTGGGGGAAAAATGAGTCAATTCCATTTTAGGAAAAAAAAAATTGGGGATTTTTTTATTTGTTTCAGAGGCTGGATTTGAGTTAGAACTCTCCAGATTTCCCTGATTAGTAGAATCTAAAAGGTGTTGTATTCCTGTTTGTAAAGGGGGGGTTATTCTATACAGATCCATAGATATAAAAAAAAAAAAAACAACAACAATGAAGGCTTTTTTTTTTATTATTAATATTATTATTATTTCTGGTTAGTGCTTAGATATTTCCATTTGGGAAACACCTTATGATGAATATTTGAATTGTTGTTCTTTCATTAGTGTGGCCATAGCGAGTGTGATGTGATTTATCGCTCTTTTTTTTTTTTTTTTATAAATTTCGGGTGTGAATTCTTGTCCAACAAGATGGCGGTGTGAGTGTGTTTTCTCGTAGCAGCTGGGAAGTGACGTCGCTTAAACCAGTGTGGGAAAATTAAAAAACTAAAAGGCCCCAGATTGCACCTGACCTTACGTGAGAAGCAGGGTAAAATCTGCAGTGACAAACGTCCGCGATGAATCTGTCACATGATTTCTTTCTTTTTTTTTATTTTGGTTTCTTATGGGAAATTGTTGCATGATGATTGGTGCTACGTCTCGCCATGTATGTACAATTCGGCTGAGCTGTCTAAAGTCGACGCTCTCTAAAAAAATAAAAGCATCCAGGCATCACTCATTTTGCACTTTCCACATGCTGTCAAAGCCTGGTGTACTTTAGAAAACCCTCCAGTCATTCATTACCTTCAGGTGCTTGGGAGGAGGGTTCCCGTTAAGGTGTTTTTTTTTATTTTATTTGGGCGTGGTCTTTCTATCGCTTCACAGGGTGTGAATGTAGCCTGTCAGAAAGCTCTTGAGACTTTTATTTTGAAAAAAAAACAGTGTTCAACCCATCAGCAGCTTCAAGAGCCCCCCCTTATTTTAAGAAAGTATTACTCCACCGATCATAACAGGACTTTTTATGCAAAGGAGGACCTGTGGCACTCATGCAATATGTGTGATTGTTCCTTTTTTAGCTGAATGTCACGCATTCTGTCGAGGACTGAGAGGGCGTTTACATGGAAGGGAAAACATTCAATCTTCATTTTCATCCTACATGAGCAATACACATCTTCCATACTTTGGCTAGCTGCTAGTCACTTGGCATCAGGTTGTTATAAAACATGAAAACCAGCATTTTTACAGGATGTAACATTCACCAAAAGGAGACAAAAAGATAGCAATGCAGTGCCTGTTCACGCTGTCCAAGTGTCTGTTGTATATAATTGTAAAATGTGATAGACTTACTTTCCTATGTGACAAGAAAGAAAAGAAAAAGAAAAAAAAAAACAGCATCACACACAGAGCAGAATGTGGCAAACTCATCTGGAAATATGCTCTTTATTACTTCTTGGATGTTTTTTTTTTTGTGACTTATTAATTTTCTAATTCTGTCAGCACACAATGCCCAACTTGTTCAAAAAAAAAAAAAAATCTGATAGGAGATGTTCCTTCTTTTTCTTTATTTTTATTTTATTTTTTTGTTCCTGAGAGATGGGGGGAAGCTGGGGGGCGGGAGGGTCAGTGCTACGTGGAGCGCAGTGGATAAAAGGATGAAATAATGTCTTTTCTTAAGATTAGTCACCGTTTTTTCTCTCTGCAGGGCTGATTTCTTTTTGGGTCTTGTGGCACTTTTACTTCCCTCTGCGCACACATTTTTTTTTTTTTACTCTACTTTTAGGAATCATGGTGGAATTATATATATATATATAAAACGAACAACAACAACAACACCAACAAAAACAATATGTAAACAGTCTCCAGTAGTGATCGTAGTTACACTGCAAGTGTGTGCAAAAGGTCTATGTATGTATCTGAATGTACGTTTTAGAGGACTTTTGGAAACCTTTTTTTTTTTTCGTTTTTTTTTTTTTATCTTTTCATTTACAGTTTAGGAGCCACAGGTGTCCATTGTGAACTGTATAGCGAAGGCCTTGATATCCCTTCTTTTTATTGATTTTAGAAACGCCAAGCATTAGGCGACGCCTTCAAGCTGGTTACATTTGGTGCAGGGGCTAAAATTGCCACAAGATTAAAATCAGTGTAAATAAAGGCTCAACTTTTTGTGATTGTTACTGTTATATCCAGCCTATACTGCTAGCAGCTGTTTTTACTGCAGTCAATTACTGGAAGTGGATATATTTCCTATGCAAAACTGTTTAAACAATAAAATGAGCTATGCTACAAAAATGACTTGACGATTGTGGCTCTTCCTTGTGTTTGTTTGCTTACAGTTGATGCACATTGATTTTAGATGATTGGGACACAAAGAAAACTACAGGGGAACACAAAATACACTGAAATGTTGGTTCTATATTAAGGGTTAAAGCAGGGGTGTCCAGTCCTGGTCCTCGAGGGCCACAGTCCTGCATGTTTTAGATGTTTCTCTCTTCCAACACACCTGATTCAAATGATCGTTATCAGAGCTTGATGATGAGCTGATCATTTGAATCAGGTGTGTTGGAAGAGGGAAACATCTACAACATGCAGGACTGTGGCCCTCCAGGATCAGGATTGGACACCCCTGGGTTAAGGTAATAGGGGTATGTATGAAACCTTGCTACCCTTAAAAAACAGTAGATGGAAATCAGTGTTTATATACATATAAAGGGAATTTGAGCCTGATCTACTGTTTCTGAGGGCGACAACAAACCAACATATATCCAGTAATGCTCCCCTAGTCTGACTGTCTGAATGTAGCCTGCTGTCGGCCACGTATTCACTGCAGCTTTATCCTCCCCTTCCGCTATCTACAGTTTCCAAAGTTCCCTTCACGACCGGAAACGACAACCGATCCGATCACTGTATGTTAACTCTGCACCACACACGACGAGGTTACTAACCAGTTGGTTCTTTAGCAGCTGAAGGAACCAGCTAGTTGTCTCTGGAGATGACAGAAACCAAAATACAGCTAAAAGAGAAGTAAATATTGGATTTACATTCATTAGGTGGCTCCAAATTCATGCTAACGTTGCTTGGTGCTACATGTTACCACTTTCAAAACCCTCTTTTCCACAACCTACCACACTGGAGGTTTTTTTTTCAAGGTGAAGATGTCCTTTTAATGACAGTCCTTTGTTGACAACATTCCACCAAAACCATTCTCCATCACTGTTTTGAGGGTACACCGTCACTGCGTCCTAGGTTTAAGTCCCTCAAATATGTGATTGGTTTAAAGAAATACAAATGATGAGGTGCAGTCAGAGTCGCGCTGCTTCAGATAATATAAATCCAGCCACACCAACTTGGACGTCACCCAGATGTTGGGGCTCTATTGGACATCTATGTAAAACCTGACCCCTTGACCCCTACGATGAGGGGATGTGGTGGCTCTGTCATGCTGTGTTATTCTATGATGAAGCATCCCAACCCTGATGGCAGTGGTAACAATGTCCCAGTCTCACAGGGCACAAGAGGTCACTGAAGAGAATCCAATGAATCATATGTTCTGGCCTTCGTAGTGCCCAGTTGAACACTTATGAGATATTTTGGACCAACGTGTTAATGCTCTTCATCACTACCATCATCAAAACACCAAATGAAGCAATATCTTGTGGAGGAACAACGATCGATCCCTCCAGTAGAGTTTACAAGACTTAGAGGATCGAAGCCACGGTGCATTGAAGCTGTTATGGTGGCACAAAATAGCCCCACACCTTCCCAAGACATTTTATTCTTTCACTTCTCACCCATCTACACATGGGTACTCGGTGAGTTTGGGTATTTAATGCTGTACAAACAGAAGCAGGAAATATCAAACCACATGCCGCTCAGTCGTAATCAGTGTAACTGATTAGACGGAAATTCAGACCTCTGATCTGGCATCCGGCGGTAAATAACACGACCTGATATCATTCACGTATATTTTTTATTAAGTTATTTTATTTCTGGAAGCATTTTCAGACTTTTGTAGGTCAAGGGGAGGTTCCACAGAAAACATGAATAACTTAATCACACTGCCGACTTTTATCAAATTAAATGTAACATTCAGCCCCCTCATCCTCATCCCATTAATTTGTGTTACAGTACCTTACACAGACGAGGACACCTGACCGGATAGCAAAGTAACTGCAGTGTTCAGGATCATGTCACTCAGGGAGGCTTGTGAAAGAGCAGCCTGAAAGAGGAAAACAAGGTTAGTAATTGCCGCAGAGGTGGAACAAGGACAGCGTCAGATCAGAGAAAAGACGACTACCGGTATTTGACTTTAAGTATTTAACTAATTGGATTTCATTGATTCTCAGAAGTGTGTCTGTGACAGTTTCTCCTGAAAGCAAACATTAGTTTTCATGTCCTGGAGTGATCCCATGACCCCGCATACCCGTGGCTCCATCGTGGTATTACTCCGGCTAATCTACAGTAATACCCCAATCCCCGAGGAATGGGAGACAGACTACAGTGTTTGGACCGGAGCAGAATCCGGCTGCTGGGACTTGGGAGGGTCATGCAAGGTAACATCCATCTGGGTCACTGTGTCAAGTACGTGAAGCTCTGATCGAGTAAAGCCCTTCTAATGGGATTGGGGACATTGAAAGAGGCAAAAGTCAGGCTAAAGCGCCAATTAAGTCTCATTAGGGTCCTGTGTGATGGGCTCAGGACTCAGCTGGACACTCGATGACAACAACAGGAACCGTCGCCGGTGCCCACAAGACCAGGTGCCCTGGTCTGCAGCAGGAGCGCCCTCCTCACGGCGGCGAAAGCACTGCATGCTGCACACCGACACCAAAGGAGCCCACCTGGCCTCGGGCGCAAACCGGAGTTCATTTGGCTATCATTAAAGAGGACCAACAATGTGGCACGCTGATATAAAATTACCCGATCTATAATGGTAATCATTATGCCATTTATCAAAATTGGCCAGTTGAGTCAACATCTGGCTTCAATAGGGGGGCTCTTGTCGGTGAGGGTCTTGGCAACGTCTTGTACCCTACATATTTTCCACTCTCTTTTATCAAGGCCTGCTGTCAGTGATTTGACGAAGCTAAATAGATGATGATTTGGCCCTATTATGTTTCGCAGGGCTCAAGCGAAGGGGATTTGTTGATTGCCTTTGTGTTTGTCCATTTTTTTCTTCCTTCTCTTTCCTCCCTTTCTTTCCACCCTCATGGATCCAGGAGAGGTAACGGCGCCTTGTGGTTCTCCGACGGTGCGTCTGACTGCGAACCAAAAAGAGAGGATGTGGAGGGAAAAAGCACAGCGAGTTCTCTCACACAAACCTGTGAGTGCAGAGGCTGGACCGGGCTGCTGGACGCCGGCCAATGCCAGCACAAAGAACTCTGTCACATCCCCAAGTTTTATGGCAGGACCATAATATTCATCTTGTGTGCTGTTGGAGTCAGGTAATGAATTAATCTGATCCTTTCGTCTTTCTGGCATCAAAGTGTGAGTGTAATGCACTTTATCTAGCAGGAAGTGATTAAGGCAGAATTTGTGCAGATTTATATTGTTGGTGTTTGGGGCAGACAATGTGGGGCTGCAATTTTAATATAAAAAGGAAACTGTGCTTTAAATAATAATAATAAAAAAGGGTTGCAATCTGTCATATTCTCGCTTTGAAAATAAACCCACAAGGGAAGAGGTTTAAGTTATCAGTATTTCACTTTTTTGGGGAAAAATATTAGCAGAGAGTTAGCTACACACTCTCATATCTGACTGTTGAGGAGATATTAGCTTAGTTTAGCTTCGTATAAAGAATATAAAAAGAGGGTAAACGGCTAGACTTGCTGTGTCTAAAACCTCTCAAGGCTATTGATAAACATATTAGGCTTTTGTCTTGTTTTTTGAATCCCCACAAAGTGTAAAACACAAACAAACTAGCCATTGCCTTGTGGAGCTAGCTGTAGCTTGCTCTTTATGCTAATTTCAGTTAGCTAATTGAGTTCAATTGCTTTTTATGCTAAGTTCAGCTAATTGAGTGAAAGTTTCTTTAACTTCTCAAGAAATAGTCAATCAATTTTTATAGATTAGACAACCTTTAAATAACATGTTCATTAAGAGCTTTATAGCGGTATCAATAAGAGGTCATCATCTAGAGAGGCTAGCTGTTTCTTCATGCTAAGTTAAGCTAACTTAGTATAATTCATTTATTTTAACTGGTCAAAAAACAACACATATACAACCACTTTTTGATTGCTTTTTACACATTAAACAACTAAATTATATAATGTAAAAAATGAGTTAATGAGAGTGCTTTATAGAAAAATAAGTAGGTGGTTTTGATCCAGAGAGACTAGCCTTTTCTTTATGCTAACTTAAAGCTAACTGATTGGAACATCCATCAACTTGTCAAGAAATAGTCTCGCAAATATCCCACATATACAACCAAAATGTCATTATTATGGATTAAACAATATACAGATGAGGTGTTAATAAGAGGGAGCTTTACAGAAATATTAATAGGTGGTTGTTATGGACAGAGACTAGCTGTTTCCCCTCTATGCTAGGCTAAGCTAACCTGCTATAGGCTGTAGCTTATGGTGTTTTCAAATGAGGTTGTCTCCATATAAAACACTCCCATCTTGTGATATCTAACCCTAACCTTAACCTTATAAGCTCCTGGTTCATGAGTTGTGCTGTTTAATTTTATTTTTCAGTGGCTGGTATGTTGATGTTTTCATGGTCATTAGTTTTGGTTTTAATACTCCTGTTTTATTTCAGAAATGTTCATTTTCATGTGAGTCACTACTGCTGCTCTAATTGATTTCACCTGTGTCTGGTACACCAATCAGCCTCTGTGTGCATTCATGGTCTTTAGTGACCAGTTCATCCTGTTTACCTCCAGCTGTCCAGGGCTGTTCATCTACCTGCATTTCCCTGTAAGTCTCTTTGTATTTCTGCTTCATTCACAGTGTTTCTTCAGCTTTTTTTTACTTTCTTGAATCGACTCTGTTGTCATTTTGTTGGATTTTTAAACTTGGGTAGCTCACCAGCCATGCTCTGTTACAGTCCTTCTATTCATAAGCTTAATTAAAGGTATTTCTTGTTAATTTAACCCACCTGCAGTTGGATTCACCTTTTAACTAAACACAACAATTAAATCATAATTAGAGTCATCTAGTAGATTTTATAATTTCTGATGAAAATGTTGGAGTTGTCTGGTGTAATATTGAAATCAAAGAGGCCAATTTGCATAATTAATAATCATGTTTGTTGGGTACATTCATAACTCCTTTATGGGAAAGTGTTGTTTTAAA